AATGTTTCTCTCTCATCAATGTTTCTAGCTCTCTGTCCCTCTCCCTTTCTCTCTGAGGAAAATCAATAAAATATATATTTTTTAAAAAGAAAAGAAAGAAGGTAAATAAGAAAAAAGGAAAACATTTATAAACCCCTAAGACTGAGAACTAACTACATCATTAATAATTAACCTAAATGTAATTCTCAATTTCTGTACCACCAAGTTTACTTCCTCAGCAGTAAATCTACATCTATTTTAAATCAAATCTTATGTAACCAAAATTATCCTGTCTTTAATTCCATTCTGCCCTGTTTACAAAGGACAGATTATTTCAAACAAGTCACCAATCATTCTACATAGCAGCTACCACCGAGTTATCGCAATTTTATCCATACTCAACAGGGGCTCTGAGAATTAAAAATAAACTAAGAAAAACTCCAAAGACTATTCCCTGAAATCTAGTTGTAGGACTGCAAATTCTCAAAAAACAAAAACAAACAAACAAACAAACAAAACAGGGAATGTAGCACAAATTTTAAAAGTAAAGGTAAAAAGCCCTAGCTGGTTTGGTTCAATAGACGGATCGAGTGCTGACCAGAGGAAGAAGGGTACCAGGTTAGATTCCCATCAAGGGCACATACTTCGGTTGCAGGCTCAATCCCTGGCTCTGATCGAGCATGTGCGAGATGTGTCTCTCTCTCTCTCTCACATCAATGTTTGATTTTTCTCTCTCTGACTCTCCCTCTCTAAAGATAAAGTAAAAACAATCCTCAATATGCAAAAGGAAAGGTTCAGTTCTATCAGGTTTTAAGAATTACCTTAAGAACAAAGGAAAAACAAATTATGGTTTCTTAATCAGAGAACCACATCCCATTTCTAAAGCATTGCTAAACTTTTTATAAAACACTAGAGGCCTGGTGCATGAATTTGTGCACAGGTGGGGTCCCTCGGCCTGACTGGCAATCAGGGCCTGCAGTCCAGCCAGTGGGGAGGGACCACGGGAGGTTGTCTGTGGGAGTGCACTGACCATCAGGGGGCAGCTCCTGCATTGAGTGTCTGCCCTCTGGTGATCAGTGTGCATGATAGCAACTGGTCATAATGGTCACTTAGGCATATATATATATATATATATATATATATACACACACATACATATAAATATCATATACTCACTATGAAACATGAGCCTTAACTTACTAAAAGCTAGAGAAAAGCAAGCACTAAGTACATTGGACCTTAAGCAAAATGATTTGACCTCCCTTTCAAGTTGATCTGGAGACTATTACATCAATACATAACGTGAATGTATCAAGTGTACTCTGTATTAACAATCTGGGGAGAAAAGTGCTTAAAGTAAACCATTTCTAAATTTATCAGTAAGTTTTCTTAAAGCCAATCCTACTATTGCTTAAAAACAAGGTCAGCCGAGGCCGGTTTGGCTCAATGGATAGAGCGTCGGCTTGGGGACTGAAAGGTCCCGGGTTCGATTCCGGTCAAGGGCATGTACCTTGGTTGCGGGCATATCCCCAGTAGGGGGTGTGCAAGAGGCAGCTGATCAATGTTTCTCTCTCATCGATGTTTCTAACTCTCTATTTCTCTCCCTTCCTCTCTGTACAAAAATCAATAAAATATATTTAAAAAAATAAATAAATAAATAAATAAATAAATAAATAAAAACAAGGTCAGCTGGTTGGAGCATCATCCATACATCAAAAGGCCAGTGTGGTTCAGTTGGTTGGAGTATTGCCTAGTATACACCAAAAAGTGATTGTTTGATTCTGGATCTGAGCACATGCCCAGCTGGAGTTGGAAGTTAGAAGTTGGATCCACCTTTGGGGGTGTGAGGTGGCAACCAATGGATATTTCTATCTCACCCTCCTTCCCTCTCTCCCTCCCTTCCCCTTTCTAAAATCAATTTTTTAAAAAAATATATTTTTATTGATTTTTCACAGAGAGGAAGAGAGAGGGATAGAGAGCTAGAAACGTCGATGAGAGAGAATCATCGACCAGCTGCCTCTTGCACACCCCCTACTGGGGATGTGCCCGCAACCAAGGTACATGCCCTTGACCGGAATCGAACCCGGGACCTTTCAGTCCGCAGACCGACACTCTACCACTGAGCCAAACCGGTGCCGGCTAAAATCAATTTTTTTTTAAATTAAAAATCAACCACCACCAAAATAAAAATAACACTTTCTTACCAAGGCAAATCATCTTTCATCTTAAGAGATCTCAGTTATCACTTAAGATCCTGTGTTATCAAAGCATTACCTATTATTATTAAAGAATTTATACTTGTTTCAATAGATACCTATGCTTACTGTTACTCTAAAAATAAGCTTGATGGGAACAAGTTTGATTTATATACCATACTTATCCATTCTCCATCCCTAAAAACCTATTCCTCCCTTTGAAGTGGTAAAATCAATGCCCATATCAGAAGTCAGAAATCTGACGATTTTCATACCAAAACAGAATTGCTTCATTTGAGATGTACTAATTAGCCATATACTAAACTACAAAATGCTCTAACATTTCCCAAATTACTAGGTTCTAACCAGTTTAATTTGTGTTCTTCACCAACCTAAGCAAGTCATTTTTACCTGCTCTATGATTTTAGGTTCTTTATCAAATAAGTGGGCAGAAAAACCTAAGATTTCTTACTTAGGTTTTAATACACTAAGATTTTTAACTCAACAACTGAAGAAAATAATTCTCCTGTCTTCCTACAGAAAAATACATATACTAGTATACATTTAGTGAAAAGAGCTTTTCTTTCTTCCCAATATTTTAGTAATCCCTTGGCTTGTTCTTTAATTAGGAGCCAAAAATAAAAACTCAAACACTAATCTACTGAATAGGTTACTAGGCAAATGTCCTAGTCAAAAAAACAAAAACACTGCCCACATACCACTATAAAGGATCTTGGGACCAGAATAATCACATTTCTAAGAAACAAAATGAAAAATTATAGAAGCAGGGTCAAATGGCATTTGGAAGTTTCTAAACCAGAATGAGTTAGAGGTTCTGCAGCCAAATCCTGATAAAAATTCTTTAGTTTGATTATGTCCATGCCTAGACAGAGAACAAAAATCCAAAGTCATGAGTTTTAAGAAAAACTGAGATGCTTGCACATAATTCTTATTGTGATATTAGATAAATTGAGTGTTTTCCACTGTACCATTAGTTCCAAGATAATAAACTATTAGAAAATCCCAGGTGATAAAGAAAAACAAATATATAGAAGTTTAGTAATTGAAGCTAACCTAAGTCAATCCATAAAGTGCTCAACATTTTATTGGGTCCAGTCTTAAAAGGGTAATGTAACCAATTAATGGAAAAAAAAATGGTTAAAAACACCTATTTGAGCATGAAACTATAACAAAAGAATAAAATCCAGAATCAGTAGCACTAGGCACCCTGGATACAAAAAAGAAATGTGTCTGTAAGCTTAATATTTGCTGTAAATCAAAAGAAATCAGACCCTAGGTTTTGTTTTTTTTGTTTATTGTTTTTTGTTTTTTAAATATATTTTGACTGATTTCAGAGAGGAAAGGAGAGGGAGAGAGGGATGGAAACATCAATGATGTGAGAAAATCACTGATGGGCTGCCTCTTGCACGCCCCCTATTGGCATCTAGTCTGCAACCCCGCACGTCCCCTGGTTCATACCTGGAAGTTCAACCACTGCCCACAGTAGAGCCAGGCAGATCTAAGTTTTTTAAGAAGACTGACCAATAAGAATAAAGTTATAGTTTTTTTTTTAAAGATGTCTCCAACTCTAAATCACTACAAAACAGAGTAGTTATTTCACAATGCCTAGAAGTTCTATATCATTAACTATAAAACCTACAATATTATGTTCTAAAGAACTTGTCAGTGTTTAAATTGATTTTCTCCCACATGTTAAGTTGATTTTCCCTTCACATTTGATATGGCCTTGGTCATTTGGAAGGTAACATTCAAAGAACTACGTATTATTAACTAGGTAAAACAAAATTCCTAGATCATTCAATTATTTTCATATCCTATTTCAGCTTGATCCTTTTTCTTGGCAAAAAAATAATATGGATAATGGCATTCTTCATGAAAAACGACTCAAAAAAATCCTGCCTTTTCCATTCAGTGTTAACACTGCTTCTTCCAATAACCAATGTTCACTTCCTGATGAGAAAAATCAAGCTCATACAGGTCAAACAACAAGTAACCCAAAACCAGGTATTTAAACCTAGAATATACTTGTCAACCAGAATGACACACCATTATTTTCACCATGAAAACTTCCCAGAGAGATTAAAAAAGAAGCATTGTAACTCCTCTAAACTTTTGGGAAAGTTTGGCTTAAAAACCTTTTATAACAAACTTAAAACAATAATTTTTTCATGTGCTCGTACTATTCATTGCATAGTTTATGGGCTAAAGACATATTAGTTTTAATTAACAAGGTAAGATCACTGCTAGCTAGCATAAGGCATAAGCATCATTGGGTGGTATAACATCGAATACTCATTGTACCTTACTAGTCCCAAGGCATTTGGCCAGAGAAGAAAGTCTTTTTTATAGTGGTTATTATTAAATGCCTGTGTAACCGCCAACAAAGATATAGCCAAAGGAAGGTCATTCATGAACAAGGTCGTTCTTACTAAAAAAGAACAGTCTGATCTCAGTAGCACACCAGCAAGTCATCACTGCAAAGCCTTTGATGAGTCTGAAATGTAACTCAAAAACCTCCCCCACTAATTCCAAGTTTCCTGCCAGACACTATACCATAATAATAGGCAATGCATTTGTATCGAAGATTTTCACCACTCCTTCTCTAGTAGCAAATCTCACTGGCTATCAATAATGCCCCAAAATCTAGTTTCAATCTCTTTCAAAAGGTGGCCTTCCCCCCCCCAACCCCCCCAGTCAGAGCGAACAGTGAAAGAATGACAAGTAAAGAGTGAACTCGATAAACTGGCCCAACCGAGCACATTTGGGACCCAAACACACCGTATAATAAAGTAGGCGGGGCCATACCTGCAGTTCACACCAGGCGACCTCCACGGTGGTTTCAGTGTCCAGTCCTTTGTAGACCGTCTTAAAGGAGCCTCTGCCAATTTCTATATCAAACTTGAGAAAGCGGCCGTCGTTGGACATTCCCACGGCCTTGGTCTCCAGCTCTTCGATGTCATCCTGCTGCTGGCTCCGTTCCTCCTGCGAATCCTTGGCGCTGCTGCCGCCGCTGCCGCTCCTCGCTGATGCCGGAGGCTCCTCTTTGCTCCCCACATGGTCGGGCTGGGAAACTTGGCGGTCTTTGCTGACAGTGCTGGGGGCAGTGGTGGTGGTTGCTGGGCCCGGGGCAGCGGGTTCCCTCGGGGCAGCAACGGCGGCGGGAGGCTGCTGGGCTACCTCGGCGGCGGCGGCGGTGGCGGTCACGGCCTCCTCCCGATGGGGCTCCGGCGGAGAGCTCCGGGGCAGCGCCGCGGCGGCGCTGGGCTGGGGGAGAGCGAGCGGGAGGCCGGGCAGCTCCAGCGCCGTCGCGTTGGAGTCGCAGATGACGCTGCGGCGGAAGAAGCGGTGCTCGGTGGTGGTGGTGGCGGCGGCCGCCCCGCGGCTGTCCTTGTCCATGGTGTGGCGGCGGCGCCGGTACTCCTCAGTCCTGCCGGCGCCGGCGTCGGTCCCCGCCGCGCCCAGCTTCTCCCCGACCGAAGAGTCGGAGCTAGAGCCATTTTTGGGGGCGGGCGCCGGCGGCGAGAGGAACAGGGAGCTCGGAGTGCCGCTCTGCTTCTCGGCGGCGCCTCCGGACATGGTCGGTCCACCGGAGCGAGGCGAGCCGGGTCGAATTTGTGAATGAAGAGAGGGTGAGGGGCCGACCCGGAGGGCCGGTGCAGTGTCGGCAGGTACCGCTACGACGGGTCCCGCTCCCGGCGGGTTAGGACCACACCGGACCGCTCCTCACTTAGAACTGACAAGTCACCCCCAAGGCGAGGCGGGACACCGGGCCCTGCTGCGGCGGCTGCTGCTTGGGCTCACAAGGCGGGCTCGGCGGCGGGCTGTCGAGGAGCTGAGCCACGGGGGTTAGCGCCTCGCGATCTGCAGCCATCCTGCGGCAAGCCGCGGGCGGGAAGGCTGGAGCGGCAGAGGCGCCGCAGTCATGAGGGGCGAAGCGCCGGCACCGAGGAGAAGCGGATGCGGCGGATGCGGCGGCGCCTCCAGCTCCCCGCCGCCGCCGCCGCCGCTGCGCGGACTGGGCGGGCTAGGCCCGGAGGGCGGCGGCAACGCGCGGCACGGACCGGCGCGGACTCCCGAGCGGTGGCAGCTCCGGGGCCAGAGGGAGTGGGAGGGGCCGAGGAGGGCGAGGGAGGGCCGGGCCCGGGGGCTCCCGGACAGTCAGTGGGTCGCCGCCTCACGAACGCGCCCCCAGCGAGGGGAACCAGTCTCACAAGGCGTCCATCGCCCGGCCTGAAGGGTCGAAGCCTCGGTGCCTGAGAAGCGGGCCCCCCCTTCCCCGAGGCCTCCCCGCCCGCCCCGGGCCTGGCAAACCCCCGCCTCCTCCCGGGCCGGTGCCGGGGGCTGACGGAGGGAGGGAACGGTGGGGAGGGGAGGGCCGCTCGCCGCGGGGCCCGAGCTCCGCTGCTTCTCTGGGCCAAGAGCACAGGAGGCCGAAAGGACTGGGTGAGGGGGGTTAGGGAGAGAGGAGAGTAGTCACCCCGACAGGCACCTTCTGTCACCGAAGACCGGAGTGCAGAGTGGGTCGAGTATGAAGAGGCGCGTCCAACAGAGAAACTCGCCGCGCTAAATGGCGCCGGGAGTCTGAAGGCTCCACACAGCCCGCTCGGACCCCGCCCCCCACCGCCCGGGGCAGCCCCGCCCCCACCTCGCTCTCAGGACTCTCGCGCAAGCGTGCAGTACCGAGGCCCCTGGGACTTGTAGTTTACTCGCCAAAAGAATGCAAGGCGTTCAGGCGGAAGGAGCCTACGACTTCCGTGATGTCTTGCGGCAGTTTTATCTTGATGCTTCATGGGAATTGTAGTTTTCTTTTGGAAACCGCCCCTTCTGGAAGGCTGATGGGAGCGTCGCCCTGAGTCGCCAAACCGCATCCTTAAATCAGCGCTAGCTGGGAAAATAATTATTTGGGGGTTAATTGTGGAAGAAGGGAAGGAAGGGAAAAAAAAAAAGAAAGAAAGAAAGAAAAGGGAGGCAAGCGAGAGAAGAGATCCCTAATTCCTGTCAATGTTCTACTGAAGCTAGAGAAAACTCTTAGGGTTGCCATGCAAAGAAAATGATCTGTTGTTCATCTTTAATGGAGAAAGCTGCTGAAATGTTGAGTGACTGTAGGGCTGTTGGGATAAAGGGGGAACGCAAAGCAGGAGAAGCAAAGCCTAGGCTCAGCCAGATCTAACGACTCCTTCCACAGGTTAAAATAAACTTTGTGGATTGCGCATAAGGTTACTGTTGATTAAATGGGTTGAAGAAGGAAATAGAGAAAATTATCTTCTATCCTCCTTGATTCCATAGCAATCAAGATGAGTTGTGGGCATTCTCAGCTCCAGTTGTAAGACATTCTGGTTCTCAAAGATGGGCTACCCTACTTTGGATCATAGTGAACTCTTTGCTGGAATAAAATAGATGATGTCGGGGGGAGGGGGACTGCGGGGGCGGGGGGACTTGGCGTCTTGAGAGAGTAGACTTCTGTGTAGTTGGTTGAAATCTAATTTCCATCTTTCCTTCGGTGGCTTAGTAAAACAACATCCCCTCTTTCTCTAGGGGGGTATGAAAGTACACATGTAATGTATGGCTTTGGACATAGAGGAAATTTGCATCCACATGTCACAGTAAAGGAAAGTATCTTTGGGCTCTCTCACAACTACTCAGGATTATACAAGTGATGAGCACTAGGGGGCACCAAACAGAGTTGGGGAGCCAGATGGCAGTTTAAAATGTCTAAGCCCGACGGGTAAGAGCGGGAAGTACTGAAATATATGCAAGGGCATCAGAGCGTCAACACACTCCTTTCTCTCCTCAGTGCCCACTGTGGAAGGAGCTCAGAAGCGCACATTCTAGCGGAGGACCACGCTAAGACTACGAGTAGTTTAGAAGCAACTTGACAGAAGATTCGTTGGTTCACACTAGTTTCCTAGGAAACGCCCACAACTTATCTGGATGAGCTCCACTTAGAAAAGTTTGCTGTATAATTCATATTAATTTACCTGTTAAGTAAAATAGTTATACACGTTTACAGCTTTTTTTCTTTATCAAAAGCTAAACTTTCAGGCATACAAAAAAGTTTGTTTTAAAACCAGTGGTTGCTAGGTTTCATGAAGCTAGCAGATTATAAACATTTTAAAATACAAATTCAGTAGGGGCAACTCGAGTACTAAAATAGTAGAGTTCCATTTACTAGAAAATATATTGTTAACTCATTTGCTATGGTAATGTAAATCTCAATATGGTATATGTAATTAGTAGTTTGTCTCCAATCTTAAATTTTAATATAAAGCAAGGGAAGAAATGACTTTAAAATACATTTTTATTATACGTTTTGAGGCAGATTATTAGAACTTGCTCAATTGTTGCTTTACTAGAAAAAAACAGTCTGATTTTAAATATAATCAAACTAATTATAAATTGGTGAGTTAAAAGAAGATCAGTAAATCACAATGTTGGTTCAAATGTTGGCACCACAAAAAAAAAAAAAATGATGCTATTTCTGTGTGAATGGTTATTTAAAAACTTTATTATTGCTATTTCTGTTTACTCTGCATTGAAACTTTGGCCACAATGCATTGGACACAAGTCCCTGGATGATCACCATGTCCTGTCAACACATTAGTTCAACCAGGAACAATTAAATATATTGTAAATAATTAACTTGATTGAAAGCTCTGCTTGCCCACATGACAGACTTTCCTATTTGTGCAACATTAGTTTTACTATGAAAACAGGTACAACTTTGAGTATAACTATATTGTGTACAATGGTTAGATTTAAAGGTTAAAATGTTTAGTGTGATTATTTTACTACAGACACCTTTTTAATGCTTACCAGCTTTCAATTAACATATTTTCTGTTACTTATTAATATATCCCTAATAGCATTTCTCTTTTCTGTCAATTCAATTATCGAGTAAAGAGCAGATCTCTCTCTGTAATATACATAAAACATCTATCTATAATAATCTTTAATAATAAAAGCATAATATGTTAATTAGACCAGGCAGCTGAATGATCTTCCCGACATCATTCCAGACGTCCTTCCAGATGAAGCTGTGGTGGTGGGGGCCAAGGCAGAGGCAGTTAAGGGTGATCAGGAAGGCAATCATGCAGGCATGCAGAGTGTTTAGGAGCAATCAGGCAGGCAGGTGAGCAGTTAAGAGCCAGTGGCCCCAGATTGCGAGAGAGTGCAGGCTGGGCTGAGGGATAAACCCCAACCCATGCATGAATTTCGTGCACTGTTCTATATATGAAAGCCTAAGCAACTGAATGAGTGAACAACCAGTCAACCAGTCACCATGACACATACTGACCACCAGAGGGCAGACACTCAACACAGGTGCTGCCCCCTAGTGGTCAGTGTGCTCCCACAGCAGAAGCACTGCTAGCAGACCAATGGGTGCCAGATGCAGGTCTCACAGCTGGCAAGTGCTGCTGCATGATGTGAGCCTCTCTTGGTTCAGACTGACTAGGCACAAGCCCACAGCAGGCAAAGTGGGGCCAGGATGAGTGGGAGTGGCAGGCAGGAGCAGCAGGCGGCATTGGACTGCCGGTTTTGGCCCAATCCCTACAGGCCACACCAAAGGACCCCACTGGTGCACAAATCCATGCACCAGGCCTCTAGTCAAGTAATAAAAGAAAAGGTAGCAAAAAGACCTCAAGACACAATGGATGCACTAAACTCAGAGATTTGATTTTGTGACAGCTAGGTCCATAAAAAGAATACATGTAATTTATTTTCTCACACCATATTATTTATTCACTTTTGTCTTTGTTTATTTTCTCACATAAATTCATGTTTCTTTCATTTCCCAACCATTCATAACTAGATAGTAATGAAAGCCAGAGCCAGCGATGACTTAGTCAGTTGCTGAACACATAAAATCTACCTTATTTCATATGTCACATAATTCATAGGGTAGCTTCTTGAAGTGTAAGAGGAAAAATATTTTGAGAGCATTTCTCTTTATTTTTTCCTCCTTTCCCTCATTTCTCATGCACCTTTGTCTTGCCTGTGGATAATTTTAATTTTACCTTTTGTCATCTAGAACTCAAGGAAAACTGGATATTCAGATAGTTAAACAATGAAGAATTAAAAAAAAAAACTTTAAAAATATTTTTATTATTTTTAAGAAAATAGAGGGAGAGAGAAATAGAAACATCAATAATGAGAGAGAATCATTGATTGGCTGCCTCCTACATGCATGCTCCCCTCCCCCCTGCCGCCCCTCTTCCCCTCCTACACTGAGGATTGAGCCTGCAATCTGGGCATATGCATTGACTGGGAATTTAACCATGGCCTAATGGTTTATAGATCAAACCTCAACCACTTAGCCACAGCAGTTAGGCAAAACCTTTTATATTAAAATGAAATAAAGGGGGTGGGAATGCTCTACATCAAAACATATTATAGGAAAGGAAACAAGATTGTGGCATAGGTAAACACCTGTACTTTCTGCCTCTCACAACCACATCAAAACCACAGCTAAATATATATATATGTAGCCCAGAATCACAGGAAAGCTGACTGAGTGGAAGTTCTACAACTAGAAGAAAAGAAAAAAGTGCATTGAGACTGGTAGGAGGTGCAGAGGT